TAAATAAAAAAAAAAAAAAACCTCTGCCCCTATGCAAATCTAGGAAAGCAAGGGTAGCAAAATCAAGGGTATCTTTGAGGTAAAAAAAGGAAAATACGTACATATGAGATCACAAAGAGGATATAATGCAGCCATGTTTAGCCTGTGTGATGGTGGATCATGGAGCAAAATGATACTGAGGGTTGCCTTGTCATAGTGGGTTTGGGATTGTGCACTCACTTAATGATGTAATGATAGGGTATTACAACTCTTTGGGCAGAAGTGTACTTTGGGTGAGGAGGAAAAGGGAAATTGAGCTTTGGGTGGGGAAGGCAAATTAGTGGTGGAGACCCACATGGGTTGCAAGATGCTGCAGGATTTCAGTCTTGCCTGCAGATACTTAAAGATGCAAATCAGTGCAAGTGGATATGTAAACCTAACCCTTTTTATAAAGACAGGGCTTAGGAAATTAGGTATTTTAGATGTGCTAACTGTTAAACTTCATAGATGTGACAGGCCTGCTCTGCCAGTTATATTGCCAGTTCTGATGTGATATTATAGTTATGTTCTGTGTGGACTGGGGTTATATCTAGATGGTAAATTATGAAGCTAATGCTTGTTTCTAGAGCTTATGCTGGTACGTGTGGGAGAGAAATGTGATACATAATATTAAAGTAGTGCAAATGATGATATGTTGATTCATCATTGTGTAAACAGTCCCATTTCATGGGAATGCTTATGGGGAAAGACTGCATTTTTTTTGTCTCAAATACTGGTGATGTTTCAATGGGGGAAAAGATTCAATAACTTAAATGGAATTGAAACCATGAGCCATGAACCAAATGACTCATTATGATACTTTTGAATTGGAAGAAAACATGCAGAGTTCTGAAAATGACCTGCTGCCTGTTTTCACAATCTGAAGAATAGTGTATCAAGATGCTTCCACAAAAAAATGGAGGAAGGCTGGTTTTTGCTATAAAAAATTAGAATGAAAAGTATGTTACTGTTTGACCAGCATAGAAATCTGCTCTAGGCTTCTTCAACTGAATTGCTTTGGAAAGGAGCATTTGTATTTTCCTGGTAACTAATGTTTGCTTTTCAAAGAATCTTGTGGGTGCTTTCTCAACCCTATTGACTTCAGTGGGCTTGGGATGTTCCGATTATACTATGAGAAGCATTACAAATTACTGGGAAAAGAACGGGGTATCCAAATGACACTGAGATCAAGAATAATGGTAATTCAGGAGTAGAATAAATCAGAATGGGCTTATTTTAAATTTGCTTAACAGTTTCCTTTGCTTCTAGATTTCCCGACTGATGCTTGGTTTTCACATGCTTGTTTAATATATGATAGGTTATTCTTATTTTGAAAAATTAACATTCTGTGAATGTTAAAGCCTAGTGTTTATATTAATTGGCCAGGGAATGGAGGTACAGAAGTGTAACAGTTTTTTGTTTGAAGATCCATATTATGTTGGTGTCCATAGATTAGTTCCTACCTCAGCTTGTAGTTCAGGAAGGTTTTGTGCAGTAATTTAGCTATTTGAAATCCAACAGAAAATTGGCATTGCTTTGTTTTTCATTGAAATTTATTATGTACGCTTGACTTGCTGGGTGAGCACATGTTCACCCCAGAATTAACAAAGGGGAGGTAAAACACAGCTAATCTTACTGCCTAGGAATGTTAGTGTGTCTGCATTTATGCACAGCAGCTGCTTGTCCCTGCAAAAGGCTGGTGTTCAAAGCACTACATTGCAGAAGAAATGCAATAGGTAGTTTATTCCCAAGAGAGTTTTACCCCTGTGATATAATGTGTATACTATATACAAGTATATGCAGCAGTCTTGCAGTCCTGGGGTTTTTTTAGGAAATTTTACCCCAGCAAAATTTCCTTTGATTTCTCTGTGAGTGTTGTCTGAGGATTTGGCCCTCTGAATGTACATGTGTACTTAACAAGTAGAACTCATTAGAGCTATTAATGCAATAAGGATATTTAATATCAGATTAAAATTTTGCATAATAAAATCATTTGGGGCCTCTACCCTATCCAGGCATATGGAGCAAACCTGGAGTATCTCCTGTACCAGCCTGCTTGTGCAGCATTTCCGGTATGTATGAGAGTTACTCGGCACAGCACAGGCTGCTCAGCTTGTTTCTCCACACTGAGCAGAACCTGTCTAACCCCTAAACATCCTCTGCTGCTATGGTAGTGCTGAAAGGAGGCAAGTCAGAGCTGGAGAGGGAGGTGGTGTGTACCAATAGCTGAAGCTAAGAAATTCCAATATGTATTGTTAGGCATCTGTAGAGACCAATAGTTGCTTCTGTTGTCTCTTCACCCCAGAGCAGGGGTCATTTAATTGTTTTTACTTGTGGAACTGCATAGTTTCACTTGAGGATGGGATGTGAATGCAGAGAGTCTGGCTTATAAGGTGGTTTTGACTCCTGATGTTAAACCTGTGCTTATAATCAATGTCCACTTGAAAGCAGTCTCTAAATGCTTATGTTAACTTGGATGTTAGTGTGGAAGAAAGGCAATATAACTGGCAAATTAGTATTGCAGTACAGCCCCCTTTCACCAGACTTCTGTGCCTTCAGTCAAGTGTTCTGAATAATGGATAGTGGGATGGGGGTGGGTTTTAATAAGTCTACAGTGTGTTTTTGTAAGTGTTGGATTGGGTCCTTGAAATAACAAATGATCAGACTGATTAAAGGTAAAACTGATCTTGGGCCTCTAGTTTGCCTCTTGAATGGAAGAAGCTACAGTTGCATAGTATATTGAAATACGTGAAGTTGGGATTTTTTTCTTTTTTTTTTTTTTTTTTTTGGGG